CTTTATTGAACCAAAGCAATAGTCTGTCTGGACAGAAATTCTGTCTGTGAAATTGGCTCTGAGAAGGTCTTTTTCAGAAAAGTGTAAACATGCTCCACTAGGATCAGGCTTTTCCTCTGCTGCAGCCTCAAGGCAATAGGGTGTCATTTGTCCCCAAAGGCCACAGCTCTCTCCACCTTTACTCCTTTTGCATGGCTGTCCTGGCTGTCCCTGCAACCCATGCTATCCTCTTGCACCCCATACTTGCAACTCTTTCCTTGTTAGAAAAGGCAGTCCCTATATCCTATGACTGAACGTTGCCAGCACTTCAGAAAATTGTTTGACTTACAAACACCTCTATGACAGAGAAAAAAAACCTTTGGAAATCTTTTTTTCACAGGCCTAGCAGTGAGCAATAGTAGTAGTAAGATGATGAGCTCATTTCACATAACCCTTAGAATAGTTATAAGAAGCAGGTAATGATTTTCTCCAGTACATTAAACAGGTGACTAGAAGATTGGCAATCCATTAACAGAATAACACACAATAGCTTTCTGTGGAAGAACATTTAATTTTTATCTTTCCTGGTTTGCAAACCAAAACTTTATAAAATGCTTTTCAAACTTCAGTTCTCTCTTTTAAGTTCTCATTTCTGTAATCTCTACAGAGAGATAAATATTGGTGTGCAAAGAAGTATTAAAGTAGCTAAATTGACAGAGGAGCAAAATTAAAAATTTGCTTCTTCCTTTAACTCTTATACACTCTGTGATGGGGCTATCCATCACAAGTGAGCTATCTCAGGATTGATCACAAGTCTGGCACAATGTAATTACTGAACCAAAAGCATTGTATTATATAGCATGAAATGAAATAGCAAGTTTGCCTTCCACATTATGAACCCGTTGACTAATGATGGAGTGCTGCAATTAGAAAGTATGGAAGTAACAAGACAAGGTATTTCACAGTCTACTAATGTATAGAATAAAACTACTGATAGAGTGAAGCAGGGAAATTAAAACCAATAAAACTGAAACAGAAAATAACAAAGGCATTCTTAATAATCTGTAAAAGGAGAGGATGGAAGTGTCCTCTAAAGCAGGTCAAGTTTACAAAGATTATGCACAGCATCTGAGAAGGGCTTCTTCTGGTCTTGTGTCGGCAGATCTATTTTCCTTCCTAGTATGCTTTGTGATGGCTGAGAGTTCTTGCATTCATTGGCATCTTGTGACCTAGCATCAGGAGATTTTGCTTTAAGAGATTAGAGAGAAAAACCCAATGAGGTGTGGGAAAGAACTCCCATTGTCCAAAGCTCCCTCCCCGACTCCCATTTGATGCCACCTGAGTGGCAAAAGGCTGATCACTGTCACTGCTAGATCATCTGGGGCACCAAGGCAAGAGCACTAGTGGCATAGCTAGTGCTTTGGAAATCATGGGTTTGGTAAAACTTGACAACAAAAACAAACAAACAAACAAAAACCCATAGGAAATCCCCATAACAATAAAAAAATCAAACAAAACAAAACAAACAAGCAAACAAAAAGATAGAAAAGATGAAGTACTGCAAGTTGCCCAAGCCCATAGTAAAGACGCTCTTCACTCCTCATATTTGCTTGAAGCGTGCATCTTCAAATAAGCTGGTTATCTGGAAACAAAAAACAGGTGGGAATTTTTTTAAAAATACAATCATTCTTCTTTTCTTCTCTTTTTTCTTTCTTTTTTTAACTTGGATTAAAATCTTTCCCAAGTCATAATAGCAACTACAAACATTCTTAGCTCCTGATGCAAAACAAACCCATTAACTTACAGAATAATCCAGCCTACCTATATTTCATCTTAATGTTAGCTGCAAACTTCAACCGTGTCTGAGTGATACAGGTATTCAAACATATAGTGATACACAGAAAACTAAAAAGAGAAGGAGAAGAGAAAAAAGGAAAATAAAAAGGAAAAAAGAGAAAAAAGGTGAATACAATTGCATGTGGTGACATTTTCTGACAGTCTGGCTTAAATTCACTAATTAATTTCAGCAACAACAGAGAAAAATTAGTCTTTCCTCCTCCCTCTTCTCCCACCTATCACTTCTGTCAAGGCTCCTGACTGACAGAGAGTAGGATTTTTGAGGGTATTTTTGTGTTTGTAAAATATCAGCCTTGGGTCTGACTCCATCTCTTTGGAGCACTCCGTGCCTTTCTGCAAAGAGCTTTCAGAGGCGAATGAGCCAGAGAGGAAACTCATCACTGAAGCTCTTTTGTAGCAACTGTATGAACAATTCTGTGAAAAGTTGAAGAAATACAAATTACAGGCTTCTCTTCCCACTTGCAAGGGGGATTTTAGAAACTTCTCCTCTTTTGGCTGATAATTCCCTGGCTAGTAAAAATACCTTGAGGTGATAAGGATACAAATGCTTAAGAAATCCTAACCATCTTTTGTTTATCTTAATAAACTAATATTTTATACCTTGTGTACTTTGTTTGCACTACCTCTTTATGCACAATGAAAGTTGCTCAAAATATCCTAGAAATAACATAAGACCACTGACTCAGGAACGGAAGATGTCTTTGAATCCCAGTGTGCTTTGTCAGCTGTGTCCTGTTGAGACACTGCTCATCCTGGCCTGCTCTTGGGGACTGCATTTACAGTGTTTACCCCATGATCAGTGTTGGTAGAACAGCGAGTTCATGTGTATGTCCTAACTTGGGTGACATTTACAGGGACAAAATCTTGACCTTAGGCTTTACCGTGAGGATCACAGGTTGGTAAATCAAGCAATTAAAGGGATTGCAGATTAGTATTTAAATGTATGATATTTTAATTCAAATTACCACAAAATGACTGCATTTTTCATTATGAAAAAAGCAAGCTATAAAATAGATGTATTGAACTCTGTACTTTTCTCTAATTTTATGTTGAAACTGTACTTTCAATGATTTATCTTAATACTTAATTTCATCATTCAGTATTTTCCAAGATGTTTTCTACAACCAAAATATGCATCATTTCCCTATGAGGCTGAACAGTTGTTAGGAAAAGTAATTGCTTACATACAGCTCTATTAGCATTTGGAAAAGTGTTCATATTTCTGAAACAATTAAGAATTCAGAGATGGTTAAGATTAATCTACCTATTTTTCCCCAAAACCTTTAATGCTCTTGGGGTACAATTTTGAAGACATTAAATGTAAATTACAAACCATTATCTTAATGGCTAAATGGAGTAATTCACAAAGACAGAGGTGCTGGGATCAAGCAGCAGCTCAAATACCTGTCAAAATGGGTTGGACTCTATGATCTTTAAGGTCTCTTCCAACCTAGTCACTCTGAATTCTGTGAAAACAAGAGCCAGAATCCACATCTGCTCCCTCCTGGCAAAACACATTTCCAGATAAGATTGTAGGAACATTCTCTCTCTTCTGGTTTGGTCCTTCTGGTCAGTAACACTTGCAGAGGTGGCTATGTTGCCCCTTATTCCTACTCTGACCCTGTTTGGCAGTCAGAATATTTATCTAGAAAATTGGTCACCTCAGGGCACACAATCATAAAATCCATGCTATCCCACTATCTTGGTCAATGTTCTATGCACTAGACACCTGACTAACACTGCCTCTTTCATGCTTTAAAAGGAAAAGGTAAGTATTTTCTCCAAATCACAGAAAGTTACTTTTAATATCAATTTGCATGATGCATATCAGAGAGTTGCCAATTTGTCCCTTTATTTTGGTGTATTGGATTTGTGAGGCAATGTCTTGGTAGCAGGAGGGACTACAGGAGCGGCTGCTGAGAGAAAGTGCCAACAGAGCCAATCCCTGAGGGCTCCAAGATGAACCTGTTCTTGATCATGGCCAAGTCCATCAGTGATGGTGCTAGTGACACTGAGATAATGTATTTAACACGGGGAAAATGCACAGAGGAAATGCAGCCAAAGAATGACAATATGCAAGCAAAAAAAGCCCCAGACACCAAGGTCAGTGCACAAGGAGGGGCAGAGGCACCCCAGGTGCTGGAGCCGAGGTTTCCCTGCAGCCCATGCTGCAGACCATGGCAAGGCAGATGTGCCCCTGCAGCCTGTGGGGGAGCAGAGATCCACCTGCAGCCCATGGAGGAGCCCATGCTGGAGCATGTGGAAACATCTCAAGGAGGCTGTGACTCTGGGGAAAGCCTGCACTGGAGCAGGCTCCTGGCAGGACTTGTGGAGAGAGGAGCTCACACTGCAGCAGGTTTGCTGGCAAGACTTGAGACTCCACAGGGTACCCACACTGCAGCAGCCTGCTCCTCAAGAACTGCACCCTGTAGGAACCACACCAGGACATTTCAGAAAAAACTGCTGCATGTGGGAAGGACTCCTGTTACAAAAACTAACGGAAGACTGTCTCCCAAGGGAAGAACCCCATGCTGGAGTAGGGGAAGAGTGTGAGGAGTCCTCCCCATGAGGAAGAAGGGGAAGAGGCAGTGGGTGCCGAAGTGACCACAGTCCCCATTCTCCATCCTCCTGCACCACTTGCAGGGAGAGGTAGAGAAAATCAGGAGTGAAGTTAAGCCTGGGAAGATGGGAATGCTGTGGGAAAGGCGGTTAGATTGGGTTTTATTTCTCATTACTATACTCTTAACTGATTGATAGCAAACTAATTTCCAGTTTTGCTCATGACTGTAATTGCTGAGTGATCTCTCCCTGCTCTTATCTCCACCCCTTAACCTTTTGTTATGTCTCTCTCCTGTCCAGAAGAAGAGTGATGGAACAATACTGGTGTGCATCTGGAATCCCATTGAGCTCAGCCCACATTTAGGAAGAAAAGTTCAGGGAAACTTTCCCCAGGGCATTTTTATCTAACTGATTGGTATTTCCCTCCTTTTTCCTTACTCAAGTAATTCCCAGGTGATTTAAGTCCAGCTCTGAGATCCCTCATCTTTTTGACTGACTACACAGGGAATACAGGCATCACCAACTTTGGGGTGCTGCAGCATTCAGTATCCAGGTTTGTCTTCAGATGTAGCCTAGTTCCTCTGTCAAGAAAGCCTCAAGAGCCATTTTGGAGTGTAGTAGTCAAATTTATTTCCACTGTAGAAGCACACTTGTTTCAGTAATAAAAAAATAATCTTTGCAGAATAAAAGTAAACCTGTAGTGGTATAAATATTATTTACTTGCACACGAATTAATCTAAGTCACTCAACATATGTTTAGACTTAGTATTCCCACAGTTCTACATTTCCAATGGAGTTAAAAAGACAGTTATTTGCAGAAAGATGAGAAAGGCGAAGTCTGGCTCAGTTGGGATTTAAACATATATGAAATAATAGAAAGCTTCTTTCCTTGGCTGGTTGTTTTGGTTTGGTGGGTTTTTTTTGTTTTGTTTTGTTTTATTGTTATATGACTACATTGCCTATGAAAAATACTAACAGCCTTCAGCACTGACCATTTCTGTTTGTCTAATTAAAATATATTACATAGAGAGACAAAGAAGCCTCTTCTGGCTGCCTTGCAGACATGACCTTGGCACTGGCCAGGCAGAACCAGCAATGAGTGTAGCAGAGGTTCTTAGGTTGTGCTCAGTCTCCATGTCTCCATTTCTGAGATTCTTATCAGCAGCTGCTGCCTACCAAGAACAAACAAGGTCTAGCAATTTCCTTCAGGGGGTCATCACAGACTCATTAGACAGAATGCTGGATCAATCAGTAAATACCCTGTGCTATGCTAACACAAGTGCTCTACTCCATAAAGCATTATTGATGGCCTGGTGAAACCAACAGGCCAGCTTATAGCAAACCTATTTTCTACATTCCCATTCAGTTCAAGCCATGGAACAATAGTAAACACAACTGCAACAAATTTAACTTGCACTTTAACTTCTAGATAACTCTTTCAACTGCTATTCTCACTTGTGGGAGTGGAGAAAAAAAGCAGGGGGCAATAAAATTTAATGAATTACTCTCATGACTCTGTATTCCTGTGCTCTGCCAAAATTACACTTCCTTACCATATAGCCTATTGTCAGCACCATGTCCTCACAGCAAACACTGATTTATTCTGTTCCTTCCTTCCTGCTAGTACAGTGACAAATACAAGGTTCAGCCTGGATTATTTTCAAGGCCTCTATGAGAGGAGGACACTGAACTAATACAGCACAATACTGAAGACAAGAGAATATAACACGTAAGTTCTGATACACTGAAAGGCAATTTCACACATAAGATCATTTATAGTGTAGGCACACTGACATATGGAGCACCATTTTTTTTTCAGTTTAACATCAACATTCAACTGTGAACAGAAGAATGTTAAGCCTCTAGGCCAGTTTCAGTATCAAGGAAAGAACTACTTCTAATTTAGAAACATCAAAACACTAACGTTGACACCTTAGCTGAGACATTTACTGCAAGTGACCCTCTCTCTGAATTCGAAGGCGCTCCTTCTCTACTTGTAAGCGCTCCTTCTCAATCTGCAGCTTTTCTGACTCAAACTTCAGGAACTGCAGCCTCTCTTTCTCTAACTGCAAACGTTCTTTTTCAAGTTTTAACTTTTCAGTTTCTAGATCCAGAGGCTGCATGATGGGTTTTTCAGTTTGGGTGAGGTCATTTTCCAGAGCAGGTTTTTCAGCATGCAGAGTCTCTAGCCTGAGTTTCTCCCACTCTATCTGAAGTCGCTCCTTCTCAATCTGAAGCCGCTCACGCTCCAAGTCAACGTGCCGCAAGCGCTCCTTCTCAATCTGCAGGCGCTCCTTCTCCACTTGCAACCTTTCAGCTTCAATGTCCAGTCGCTGTTTCTCCAGCTCCACCTTTTGCTTCTCCAGATTCATGAGCAAGTGAGAATCTTCATAGGCTAGCCTAGCTTGAGCAGAGCTCAGATTTCCAAATTCTTCAATGTGGGGGAAGTCTGGTAGGTCATTTTCCTTTTTTGAATCTGGCAGAACTGATGACAATATTTCTTCTTCTTCCTCAATAGGAAACTGCAGAGAGGAATGCAACAGGCAAGAATGACATTCCAGTCATTACGCCAGAATAAATTTTTTGCATATAACTTTACTGAACAGAACATACTGCATTTTTTCATCATCTTTAAAGCTATTCAAAAGTGTTTAACTTGTATGTTGTGAAATAACCATGCTACATCGGAAGATTTTTTTATCATTACACAGGAAGAGAAACAGGTTTTATCTGCAAGTTAATATCTGGTAAGGAAATATAAAAAATCTTGTCTGGAAAAACATCCAGAAAATACAGCAGAGTAGTTATTACAGATCATTCAGAACAACTGACAGAAAACTGGATCTAGAAGACCATATGTTGTTCTTACCTTTCATAGAGCTGAGTGACATTTATGTAAGCCACCAGGCATTTGTTGTGACTAATTATTTATCAGAGCAGATGGATCCATAGGCTATGTGTTATGTAAGCTAGCCTAACCTTCAATAACTTGGGCTATTCCATTCCTAAAAAACATTTTAACACTGACATTTTTCACATGCTCCTAACTCTTCCAACTCTATTAAGTGGGTCAATAAGCAGGATTTCTTTAACCATTTTGTATTATCACATTTGCTGTAAAGCTATTTGTGACACATGATGAGGTGGTTAGGACCACTGCTCTCAGCAGACTGTAATATTTTGTGTAGTATCACAGCCCTTACAAATTCATAGTACAAAAGAGATAAATTGTCTTCCAATAGGTATGCTGCAAGAGAAAGGCAAACTGAGGAAGGTTAAGTGTTCAGAAAAACCTTAGGACCAGGAAAGTCATTGCCAGTCCTCTACCATTAGAGAAGACACACACTGTTCTTCAGCTCTGTCTGACAGTAGTTCTCACTGCCATCTAACAGCTTACACTGGTTTTCTCCCAGCATATGTATCTGCCATCTAACAGCTTACACTGGTTTTCTCCCAGCATATATATCAACAGAGTTAAGACAGGAGTTGCCTCCCCACTCCTCCTACTCAAAAAAAAAACCCCAAAAATCAACAAAAATCTCCCCCCAAAAAACCCAAAGCAATAAAATACCCCAAACAAAACTGTTTGAGTACTCCTTTCGGAAAAGAGAACTATAAACCCCTTTTGTTTAAAGAGGAACAGCAAAACTATTCCAACATTTGACTGTACTCCAGCTGGTTGCCTATCCCAAGACTGTCACAGTACTACTAAGAGTATCAACTTGTCTAAATAATCCGCTACTGCTTGTCAAATTCACACTAAAATTCTGACAAAGAGGAAAAGCTGACTAATTAAAGTAATGTTTTTGTCTCCTCTCGGTTAATTTCAAGAAATGCAGGCAGTATATTTCTTTCTGTATTCTATTTCTTTCTGTACCTGCACGTAACATTTACTTTCATTTGTTAAAGATGTGCACTTTTCCATTCATCCATCGAGGCACTCTGAATACTAAAATGACCAATTTCCTTCAACAGCATATTTTCCTTGCATTGACTCAACTAATTCTTATCTGTGGCACATGCAAATGGAAAATGCATGTGTAAAGACATACTCAAAGTTTAGAGGTATCAAACCAGTAATCAACATCCAAGACCTTACAGACAATTCCAAATTGCTAGAGTTGAATACCATGTCTGAATTATATTTATTTCTACAGCTTAATTCACACATTCAGAAAAAAACAGAAACATATGCTATGAAGAAACAGTAAAAAGCCTTATCCTGAAATGAAGCAAAGGTCATATTGCATATAGTTCATATATATCAGTCACTCACTTCAAAATTCTGCGGATCTTCCTCTTCCTCCTCTACTTTGATTTCTGTCAAAGATCCACCGGCTTCTCTGAAGTCAGTGATATTTTGCCACTCAAAACTAGATTCAATTGCAAATCCCATTTTCTCATCCATGTCTTCATTGAGAGAGTCATCTAAATTGGATGAAGGAAGGTGAAACCCAGCACCTACTACCTTGATGTTTGCATTCAGACGTTTTCTCTTCATGAGTGCTCTCCAGTCAAGGTATCGCCTTTTCACTTCTGTCCCCGTTCTCTGCTCTCCTTCACCTACAGCATTGACACACTCTGCTATTTCCTCCCAAGCTTTCCGCTTCATCTCATTAATTGTTGTATTAAGTTGCTTTGAAAAGAGTACTTCTCTCCTTTTTCTGATTTCCTTAAGGAGAGTCTGAGTTTCCTGAACACTAAAATTGCTTTTTCTTTTTCTTTTTAACTGTTTCATTTTTTCCAGGCTTAACCTAGTAATTTTACCACAGCAGACTACAAAGATGATCTGACACTAATCAGCTACTAATATAAATAAATTTAAAAGCAAATGAAAGCAGAGTTCAGTTCTCATGAAATGAATTTTCTCTTCACTTTGTTGTATTTTTCTATTTGTCAGGCTTCCTAAGAGAAAAAGAGCAAACAAGATAAATCTCCAGTATACACCAGATATTTTCATTTAACAACTTAACTCCTAAGTCATCATTTAAGGAATGCACAGTTTGAACTGTTATTTGATAAAGGAAAGCCATTTTGTTAAACTTTCAATACCAAGTAGTCAGATACTTCCTCTAATCTCCAATAAATTATAAAACATAGATATATGAATATATCCAAGTCATGAACTGTTAAGGTTGATTTAGTATTTCCATTACAAAAGTACAGACATTTTCCTTTAGCTCTTAAGAGTTTTGTCAATCAGGATTTCCTTACAACTGAAATTTGACACACATATTTCAGTTTGAATGTTTAAGTATTTACAAAAGAAGCAAAAGAAGCTGAAATTATTACATCATTGCTTCAAAAATATCTAATGTTTGGGGTACTGAAATTTCTGAGACACGTATTAAGTAAGAAACCATTTTCATTTTAAAAAAAGTAAACTAATATGAAAAGTTTATATTTTCAAGGGTCTTCTAATTTAACATAATCATAAAGTAAAGGAACTGAAGCAATCTTGTTGAATGTCATAAAATAACTACTAAAACAAATGTCATTCATTAGAGAGATTTTAACAGGAAATAGATTTAAGTCATTTTACATGCCCATGGTAAAACCCTCCCGTATCCTTCTCAGGCTGCTGAACATCTCATGTTCTTACCATGGCAGCTTTACAGTTCATCCAGTGCTCTACCCTCAGCACCAGCTGGTCCCATGCCTGATGCTGAAGAGAACATGAATCTCCATAATTCACCTGACAGAATGTGTGCAACTCTGCAGGAGTGGAGAGTGAGGGGACTATTATCACAGTAATGAATATTATTATTGCACTAGTAACAGATCATGTTACAAAAAAAAAAACCAAAAAACCACCAGAACAACCCACCAAATCTGGGAAGCAAAGACTAAGAATCAAAAATGGTTCTTGGTTGCAGACTGCTGGGCAATAGGTTCAATTTAGGATTATTCTGATCAGTCTTTTGTACCATGTTACCTACCACTGCAGGTAGGTTTAAAAGGCTTTAAGTCAAGTGGGCCAGGGATTCACTATACATTACAGATAGCTTCAAGCTGCTGTTTGTTCACTGTTCATGCAGTAAAGAAATTTGTCCACATGAAGGGAAATGGCTTCCAGATTTTAGATTCAATTGTTACTAACTAATGGGCTTAATTCTTAGATAACTCCCTCCCAGCTATACAGGATTCTTAAATTAGTAAGTATTTTCCCTCCTATTATTCTCCCTACATTTGGTTAAAACATACACATCAGCACACTGCACTACAACTCCCCACTTGGGGAATAATGTCTGGTAGTTTAGACATTGTTCTTCACCTCCAATACACTACTGACTGTAAATAAGTGGCTCATTTGCAATTTTCCATGTCAAGCAACATTCTTTCATAGACAACAAACACAGAAAAACAAACAAAAATAAACTGGGCTTTCAAGTCAAATTTTCATCGTCTTCCAAATACAATTCTACATCAATATGGAAAATGCTGACAGATAAGCTTCCTCCTTAGGTCTGGAGAGGGAAGAGAGTTAAAACATGCAAATGCCAGGCCACCCTGTGGGCCAGCCCACTGTTCTTTGCACCAGTGCTCCACATCACCTGACTGACCTGCCCAGCCATGCTTGTTAAGTGTCTCATCTTGGTTTTGGATCTTATGCCATAAGGCAAGGACATAACCTTTAAGAACTACAATACTAACTTTGAAGCTATTGGTATACAATTCCTTTACTAGGTAAAATTTTCTTTTAGACTTTAAAATTTTTGCTAGAACACATCTGATTTTCCCAGTCAAACATCAGTAAAACCTATATATTTTAAAACTCATGACTACCAACTTCCAATTGGTAAGGACACTGTGCCTCTTTAACTCATTGCTTTTTGAAAGCACATTGCTTTGTTAAGGACAACTCCTTTCCAATTAATACATATGGAGTTAGTGAATTGTCTTAACAGTGCATTTACTCCCAAAGATAGTTCTGTGTATCTATCTGATATATTAGCTAAGAAGAATTATTATCTAACTAAAGCTGAGGCTTTGGATATTCTGTTCTTAGCCATTGCCAGATGTCTCCAGGATATTACTCTTTAATGAGGAAATATGAGCTGTTACATACCTAATATTCCAAACCTCAGCAGCTGGGATAGCGTTAATGCTCATCCTAGTAGCTGGGACAACGCTGTTTTTTGGATTAGCATGCCAATGTTGGCTACACACCAATGTGTTGGTTGTGGTTAGGCAGTGCTTACTTTAAACCAAGGACTTCTCAGTTTCCACCAATGAAGAGATGCACAAGAAACTGGGGAGAACTGCACTGAAAAATGCATACTTTGACAGTTTGGGTAGAAATGTAAAGTGCTCGCTAAAAAAAAAAAACAATTCTGATGACATCATAAAGACTTCAAGGTCTTCCACAAAAGATGGCAACATGGAGCTTTGACTTTGGGCCTGTCAGGCCAAAAGCAACCTGTGATCAAGAAGGCTCTCATCACCGCACTAAACAAACTGTTGGGGTTGAAAAGAAACAAGTACTGTAAAACTAAGCTGGAAAATCCATAAACAGAATGTGCATACACTGAATACCTTTGGCATAGTTAAAAACAGGAGCATCCTCATTCTGCCTCTATCTTCTGTTTCCTTTGCTCACACTTTATTGTCGGACCAACAAAAAAATATTATCGAATGCTCCAACCAAAGAGTGAGGCAAACAAAAAAATCCCTGCATTCACCAGGAGTGAAAAACTGTTTCTTTCTTTTTACAAAAGATGACGTCTTGATTTTATTTTAAAAAAGCATTTAGGGCTTATGCTTGAATAAAAAAAAAACCCTACAACATTCAAATTAAAGGATCTGCTATCTCTAAGTTTTCTTAAATTTTCTTAATTATATAAAATTCTTCTAAATTTTCTTAGAGTCTTGAGTATCTTCTGCCTAAGGCTTTCTAGAAAACTTTTTTGTGATTCCTAACAGATGGATACATTGGCTTGGAGCAACTTATGCTTTTGTACAAAGGTTTTTAGTACAGGAGGATCTGGGCGCTGCACAATACATCATCCAGCACAGAACCGCAAGAAGCCCGCGATTTACACAAACGAAAAAGCAGGCACAGCAGGGAACCAAAGGATAATTCAACGAAGCAGGGAGAAAGCGCGGAAGATGGGAAGCAGCTGAGGATGCAGGCAATTGAAGCACAGAGGTACCAGGCCGAAGCTCCCCTTCCCCGGGACGAGCCACGGCCACGGGGGGAACAGAGGGCCTCGGCCCTGCGCGGGCAGCGCGCCTGGAGCCGGGAGGGCGGGCCCACCCGAGCGCCTCAGGGAAAGCAAGGCAGCAACAAAGAGAGGCGGGGACACGGCCGGCCGCGCGGCCAGCACAGCCCGAGGCCCAGCGCGCAGATGGGCCCCTGGGCCCTGCCCAAGCCAGGGTCGCTCCGGCCGGCAGAGCGCTGCGACCCTCCCGGGAGAAGGAGAAATGAGAACAGGACCTCCCCGTGGGGGGATAAGAAGGTGGGCAATCGCCTCATCACCCCCAGGGGCCGAGGGCGGCGCAGCCCCACCGCTGAAGCCCCGCCAGGACGGCGGGGGCTGCCCGCACGCCGCGGGGGCAGCGGCCGCCACATCCCCGGGCCGCTCCCGCCGCCCGCCCCGCCCGGTCCCCGGGGGCCGCGCGCGCGACTCACCTGCGCCCGGCGCTCCCCTCCGGGCCGCCGGCCCTTTAACGGCCACCGCTCTCCCATTGGGCGAGCTACCTGCCTGTCACTCTTCTCCTCACGCCTATTGGTGCTCCGCGTCCGCCGCTTCCCCCGCCCCGCCCCTCCGCCGGGCGGCCATTGGCTGCAGCCGCCGCTTGTCTGCCGCAGACGCGCCGGTGATTGGCTGCGGGCTGCCGCGGCCCGCCCCCTCTGCGCGGGACCGTCCGCGGGGCGGGCGCGGCGCGGGGGGTGCGCGGTGCCGCTGGGGGCGGCCTGCCAGGGAGGGATGGATGGAGGGAGGAGCGCGGGCAGCCCGAACGTGCGGGATAACCCGGGGTGAGACACCGGTTTGGCCGCCAGGTTTGCGATGCTGCTGCCCAGAGCGAGCTCTGAACTGCGCGGGTTCTGATTAAAGTGGAGAAGTGACGTTTATTACATCCTGTCATTAAAGAAGTAAAAATAAACCATATGGTCTGCATCAGACGCAAACTGTTTTAAATCCGTGGTGAATTCCTTGGGTCTGTAGAACACACATGTACAATGTCCTTCTGATTGTGCACAGGGTTACACAACTTAAACTCTCAGATTTGGTCTGTGAATCGCTTCATTGTTCAGTATAACTTTTTAATATTGTGAATGTTGCTGGAATGCTTTGTACATGTCTCCAAAAGGCTTTTGCTAGCTGAAAGGATTTTGGGGCAAAGGCCTTGGAGTGTTGGAAAGTTAATTTGTATTGGCATAACTTTATCTCTAGAAGAGTCTCGGGGTTAGAGAATTTTAAGTTTTGGAAGGACACGAGACAACACTGGGCTCCGTCACTTTGTATCAATGCCACTTATGCAAGCCTTGGCATGCAATTTTGGACTTTGTAGCTTTTATCTACTTCTATATAAATCTCTTTCTACTAGTATGGAAGGTCCATTTCAATAACAATAAACACCCAATCATTTGCAATACTTCAACTGTTAAAAAACCCTGTGTATCAATCTGACCTAATTTTTAAAAAATATACCAATTTAAATATACCTTACCATGGTAAACTTAAGAACTTTTCAGCAGACAATTAAAATTAGCATGGGAACAGTAATTCAGTATGCAAATTATATACAAATGCAAGGTCCAAGGATAATTATAAACCCCCCTCACTCCAGTTTTCATCTATGCTAACTGCATTCTTGGGTTATGGCATTCAAAATGTTCTCCAATTGAAAAAAAAAAAACCAAACCAACAAACCCCAAGTGATTACCTGCATTAGAAACTTAGAAACACTGTAGTCCCTGCAGTTCTGCAGTTTGAAACTCACTGAGGAAAAAAGAAAAAAAAAAAAAAAGAAAAAAAAAGAGACCCAAGAAGGATTCAGTTGCTCAGTGCTTTATTTCACAAAAGAATGAACATCTCAGCAAACGTGAAGTATTGTACTTTCCACATATCAGCAGAGCCCAGGCAGCAGTGAAATGTTACTGTTCTCTATGCTTTACTGGGTGTTAGAAGGAAAAAAGTAAATTGAGCATAATGTTCAACTATAAATATTGTCAAATACATCCCTGTTTTCAGTCTATTTTAATTAAAATAGATCTTATGCTGCCTCCTGTTGGTCACCTACAAACAGAAACATCTAAAATTAACCTCCACATTAGGAACTGCAGTCAGCACACTCTATAGCTATACCTTACCTACTACCCTATACTAACCAGAGGAGCTAAACAGTTAGAAAACTGTTTATCACAGAATAATACTATAAATAAATCTGACCCAGAAAATGCACCCCATTTTGTGAATATAACAAATTTTTAACAGTAGTAAACTTACTACAAATGTACTTAGACTATATGAAACAAATTAATTAGTCCTTAAATAATAATCATCAGGTTTGTGCAAACATAATCAATAAACACCCGAATAAGTGATATTTATTGTAACAACTAAACCAGTATGATAATATTACCAAAGTGCCATAATGTTTTGATAGCATTCTTTAAAAATTGAGATTATCCAATATAATCATCACTGGATATTAAAATCCCACATACAATATATATTATCTTTGTGTATATTATACTGGTCATGCTTATAATGTATTGTGTGACATAAAATAGAATACTATTAGAAATGTTTTGGTTACATCATTTAAGTGCAAATAGTAGATTATAATTTTACATGCATTTTGTATGTTTAAACATCACTGTATTTCAGTGAGAACATACATAATCATTAATCTAGTTACTATTTTTAGAGGAAGGTACTTTTTCATAAAGCTTTGATTCAAAGAGCTTTGAAAAGTCATAAAAGATTAAAAAACTCACTTTGCATTAATTTTGTGACTTTTGTTTTTAAATGCATAAATGCTCTGTAGACTGAAAAATCTGTTTGATCCAGACTACAACAGTTACTCATGCAAGTCATTCATACTCTTTTGTGTAGTTCACTGAGATTTCTTACATCTTTAGCAATTAATAACACGGTTTGGAACATAGGTCCTTTCTTCTATCATAAAGCCTTGTTTTTAACCATGACTTTCTAACACTTCTGCTTCTTCTGCATTCAGTTCTGCTACCAGATTTAATACTTTGTATGTGAAGATGTGGCAAATGATCCGTTTTCTTTCTGTGAGAGCTGTAGTAGAGGCTTATCTGCCTAACTGCAGAAGAACAGTACCACTTCACAGTAACTTTTGTGTAAGCAAAGCTAGGAAGTAACTGACATTACTACATTATTTCCTGATCACTGAGTAAGAGCTCAGCTCCCTGTGAAATCCATGAATGATTTGTCAGACTGGGAACTGACATTAGTTCCTGCACAAGTATAGTGTAGAATATTAAAGAAGCATGTCCATTTTCCCAATTCAGCTTCAGTCAGTTTTCACTGTATACTGAAGAATTTCTCACATACGTCATTGCTCTGTCTGATGTCAGATGCCAGAGTCTTATAGCAAGTAGCTGGGTGGAAGACTGCCAAAAAATCTGCTGTAGGGAAAAACTTAGAGGAAAGAGCATCACCTCCATGACTCACTCACTTGCTGTTTATGTAAGCCAGCAATTTGATCCTGACAGTGGCAATTAAAACACCCTTGCAATTCTCTGGTATCTTCCAATTTGCATAGCTGTTTATACCCATGTACTATGGGCATGTTTCTTTTCTCAATGCATAAATTGCATACTCATGTACTCAGGTATAAGCACAACACAAATACACAAGCAAAGGTGAATTGGGCCTTGTATTCCAATGATGTGACAAGTTGCCATAATTAATGGTTAATGAAGTCTCTATGCTACCCTGAGTAGCTTCATTAAAACTAAAACTACCATTTTCCTATGTGTTTGGTTTTTTCCTATTGTTTCAGTAAGAGGACTAGTATTCTTCCTCTCTCTACTCAATACATTTGCTTTGCACTAACAAAAAGTAGTTGTGTCCCAATATAGAAGTACTTGTATTTTTGCAAGGTGATTGTAAAGGTTACCTAGCTATGTTTAGTTAAAATATGATTTGGAGTCTTACTATGAAGAAAAAAAAAAAAAAAAAGTGGAAGTTGCCTGAAATATTGTAGCAAGCTACTTACTTCTACAGAACTGATATACATATTAATATACAGAAATTACTGAGTGGAAGGGTCTTGCTCTAGTAACATCTTCTCCAAATGTACATGATTTTATTTTACATACTTATGAAAATTGTTATGATGAATATTATCTAAATTTGTAAAGATATCTGATAACAAATTATAGTCAGTCACAGAACTTGAACCTTCCATTGTTTACTGTTTAAAACAAAAGCCTGTTCTAGGCAATATTAAGATCTAAGCATTAATATTCAGCTTGGGTTTTGCAAAAAGTACATGCAGTAGTGATGTGACAATGAACTTACCAGTTGTCTCAAGACATATGAAAGATGTCTCTGATGCCTCACTACATTTTATTCATTATTTAAACTACTTGACAAGATGTGATTAAATGTTTAGAACTATTATTCTGTGTGGCAAAAGACAACCTTACTGCTTTCACAATACTTATATGGAACATAAGGGCTCTCATTGTCTTATCTGGATACCTGGTAAGCAAGGAAATTCTCAGGCTGTGGAAGATTACAAATCAATTTATGAAACCTAGCTGGTTTCAGTGTCCTCCTGTCAGAAAGAAGACTGACTTTGTAAGCATGAGATCAAATTTACTGCAGAACGTACGGCTAGACTAATATTAGCACTAAAAGTCCATTACAATTTTAACATTATCATAGCTGACTATTTAAATTTTACCAAGCAATATATTGTGTAGTGTTTGCTGCATAATATTTTAACATCTAAAAATACAATGACGTTCAAGATGAAGTGTTTTAATTAATTTCAACCACAGATGATTGATGACCTCAGAAATACTATTTACTATTGACTTTTAATATGGAGGTGTAGTTTTGTAACTTTGTATGTGATGTATGACAAGATACAAACTTTTCCCATAGTTAACAGAAGCAACAGCAATGGTTCAGTTTACAGCTTGCTGCTATAAGCAGCCTAGTGACTGCTTAGTAGGTAGCACTGAAAACTTCAGAGATGAAGACTTCTGTTAGAAAACATCCTGAAGTGTTTTTTCTTCAGTTGAAGAAAACATATGACTG